ACCATACTTTGTTTTTAGTAACACCTTTCCCTTTTATTTTCAGTTATTCTTATTTTCTTTGCTGCACTCTTATATACAGCAGGTTTATTTGAGCTTAAGAGGAATTGAATGTTTCAGGAAACATGTAGAAATTTAAGAGCATTTTTCGAAACAAAAAACAAGCCAAGTTCTAAGATCGATCCTTGTTAGAAAACTGATTTTTTGTTATGAATGTCGCTGCAAGACAGTTGCATTTAAAAAAAAAAAATGTAATTCAATATTACTTTACTTTTGGAACAAGTAAGCTGCATTTTCTTCTTTAATTCAGTTTCTCGTCTACTTTTAAAGAAAGATCTGGGGTCCAGATTGATGCCCGCCTTCAAAACGCCCTCAAAGATCCCGTTCTCGGACGTCAACATCGGCAAAGGGACGGCGCACCCTCCGAGGTGGACGTCGGACAGCACGCTGGCAGAGGTTACGAGCATTCAGCTGGAATTCAGAGAGCTGAGCCGCCTCACCCAGGAGCCACAGTACCAGGTTAGGACACCAGGAGGCGCTCCGTTACAGTCGAACCCGCTGCAGAATGAGTGTGAGAATGAGCGTGTCAAATGATTTTGATTTGCCGCCGTTTGAGATGGAGTGGAAAAAGATTGGAGGCAGTTAATATGAATGTTTCCTGGGTTAAGATGGAGGGTTTGGAGTTCAGTTAAAATCCCGCATTAAGTACATCTCGGCGGCACTCGCGGGATTGAAGTGACAAGCACGAGCAAAGATTTGTTTTAAATCCGTCATGTTGTCAGTTTATGAGCTATTCCAGAAACCGGAGCTCGTGCCTGAAGATGTTCCAACCGGGTCTGACACCGAGCTGAATAATTCCCGTCATAACCGGAGCCAGCGCCCGTGTGACATAAGCTTTTGATGAGCTCACTGTTATCAAAGTGTGAAATTGCTAATAATTCTCCAATGATAAATTGCTTATAGCGGTGTTTTTCAAACATATTAGCTGCGGTAAGTGAAGGAAAGCCGGCGGGTTCATTATCTCACGTCTCGTTCGTTGATGTCGTCTCTTTTCTTTTTTCTTTTCTTTTACCTTTTCCAGGAGGTTGTCAATGAGGTGATGAAGATGGTCCACAAGCTGCCCGGAAAGCACGACGGCCTGGTGCCCATGTTCATCAACACCAACAGCGGCCAGTTCACCCACAAAGGAGTGTTCACGCTCGGTGCCAGAGCCGACAGCTACTACGAGTACCTGCTCAAGCAGTGGATCCAGGGAGGCAAAACAGAAGACGAGTAAGTAGAGCTTCACATTTTTTTTGCATCGATTTTCTGTGACTCTGAGAGGAAATACTGGGTTGTAAAAACTTCAACAACAGGCCCATTAAAACAAAACAAGAATTACTTTACAAAACATCAGTATTCTATGACATAAGGTCCAACTAGTCTGTTGGCTGTGCGGCAATAATTCATTAGTGTCATATAACAAAGGTGCAGCGTGAAAGATGGACAACGCAAATTCATTCATTTAATCTTTCTTTACATCTCTAGGAATGTCTGAGAACAAGTCCTCATTTACTATGATTTCCAGAGTCCAAAGAGACTAAAAAGAGTAAAAATTCATAAGAATATATAGTTAGAGTCAGCTGTTTCAGTGTCTTCATGTAATCCCAGATGTTACCATCAGAGCTGCTTCTTCTTCTTCTTCTTCTTGTGGTCATATCAGACACCAGAGAAGAATCTGAACATCTAGGCTGTATAGTATAGTATAATATAGGGATCACTATATTGTGCACTATGTAGTGAAGTATGTAGGGAGCACCTCGGCAAAGTCACATTTCGGACGCTACTCAAGCTATTAATTACGTCACTCGCTAGCTGTGATTTGTGCCGCAGCAGCATAGTACAAACACAGCAAATTCACAGTTTATTGCGTAGCTAAGAAATCAAATCAAATCAAGTTTATTGTTGTTTTGCTGTACGTACCAGATGAGAGAACATTTCTTCTGGATCCAGTAACTTAAAGCTATCTAAATAAAGACGTGTTTGCATATCTGAATCAGCAGATCAGCATTCTGACAGCTTGTGGCATGAAGCTGTTGATTAGTCTGGAGGTTCTTCCTTTAATGCTCCAGAAACGTTTGCCTGATGGCAGCAGTTCAAACAGTTTATGGAGAGGCTGTGAGGAGTCCCTGACAATGTTCAGTGTCCTGCTCCTGCAGCAGCTCTGGAAAAGTTCAGAGCTCGCTGTCTGTCTGTCCACCCGAAATAATGTCGTCCCATCCAGCTGTATGTCCGTCTGGGATGTCATGGAGCCATGTTTCTGTTAAAGCAAACACTCAGCAGTCCCTCCACTCTCTGTGGGCTTCTCCCAGCAAGCGTAGCTCGTCTATGGAGTTATATTTGTGACACAATCCTGTATAACTCCAGACTCGTCCAGCTTGTTGTGAGGGAGCGGACATTGGAGAGTAGGGGGACGATCCCGCTGGTCTGGAGGGGTTAGCCTTTAGCCTACCATGGATCTAGCTCTCTTCCTCCTCCTTTGTTTACGTTCGTAGCGTTTGTGCTTCCTTCTCTCTCTGTTAACTGCCGGCGTCGTCTCCAATCGGACTCCGTGTTGGTGTAGCATGTCCAGATCACAACCGAGCGCCGCAATTTTGCCGACGTTCACTGTCCTGATGTTCAGCAAAGTCTCTCGGCTGTAAGTTTTGCAGAATGGATAGACAAGACATTCAAAACTTTCACTCTCACTGTCTCCTGAAGAGGCCACTGCGTCTATGTGCACCATCATCTCATCGAACCCATCTAAGGAACAGGTAAAATAAAATTTAGCAAAACAAAGGGGAATTACATTTTAATGACAAGTTTTCGCGCTCTTGTTGGTCTAGCTTGCATTTCCTTTCGTGCAATGCATGTCGGTCCATATTGCTGGTTAGTGACCATCGGCTGTACACTGCTTTTTATGGTGCATTGTGGGATATTTTGAGTGTACTATATAGGGTGTAACATTTGTAACTTAACATTCGGACAGCACTACAAAATGGTGAACACCCTATATAGTGC